TGTCCCCATTCCCATTCCCGCTGTCCCCGTTCCCACTGTCCCCGTTCCTGATGTCCCCATTCCCGTTCCCAGTGTTCCCATTCCCGCTGTCCCCATTCCCGCTGTCCCCGTTCCCGATGTCCCCATTCCCGTTCCCAGTGTTCCCATTCCCGGTGTCCCCATTCCCGCTGTCCCCGTTCCTGATGTCCCCATTCCCATTCCCGGTGTCCGGCCCAGCCCCAGTCCCTGGCGCAGTTCGGGCGCCCCAAAATCGACGGGGAGCTCAAAGTGTCCAGCACCGAGAGGCGCTCCAAGGTGGACAGGTGGGACATGGGGACACCACGGGGACACCACGGGGACATCCACAGGGACATGGGGACACCACGGGGACATGGGGACACCACGGGGACACCACAGGGACACCCACAGGGACATCCACAGGGACATGGGGACATCCACAGGGACATGGGGACACAACGGGGACATCCACAGGGACATGGGGACATCATGGGGACATCCACAGGGACATCCACGGGGACATCCACAGGGACATGGGGACACCACGGGGGCACCACAGGGACACCACGGGGACATGGGGACATCCACAGGGACATGGGGACACCATGGGGACACCCACAGGGACATCCACAGGAACACCATGGGGACACCATGGGGACACCACAGGGACACCACAGGGACACCACAGGGACATGGGGACATCCACAGGGACATCCACAGGACATGGGGACACCATGGGGACACCACAGGGACATCCACAGGGACACCACAGGGACATCAAAGGGACATGGGAAAAGGGGTACCCCCTCCCCATGGGGACATCCTTGGGGACACCACAGGGACATGGGGACACCACAGGGACACCAAGGGGGTATGTGGGAAAACAGGGATCACTCCCATGGGGGACACCATGGGGACACCACAGAGACACCCCAAGGACGCCACGGGGCCACGGGATAACAGGGACCCCCCACGGGGGACACCCTCGGGGACACGAGGCCGGGAGCACGGGGACACTTGGTCACCCCCCTGTCCCAGAGCCGGGGCCGCCCCAGGGCGGTGCCGGGGACAGCGGGGTGGCCTCGGGGGGGCCGGTGCCACCCCCGTCCCCCGTCCCCTGGGGCAGGTACGGGTTCCTGCTGGACAAGGCCCTGATCGTCTGCAAGCGCCGCGGGGACTCCTACGAGGCCAAGGACGTGGTGGACCTGCAGAGCCACCGCCTGGGGGACGGGGACCCCGGGTCCCGCGACGGAAAGAAGGTACCGGGGACACGGCGGGGACACGGCGGGAACACCACGGCATGGGGGGCATCCGGGGGGTCCCCTTCCCGGGGGGACAGGGTGTCCTGGATCCTGGTGGAGCCCAGTGTCTTGGGCCACAGTGGACACAACTGGCCACGCGTGGGGGATCCCAGAATCCTGGTCCTTGGTGGATCCCAGAATCCTGGTCCTTGGTGGATCCCAGAATCCTGCTCCCTGGTGGATCCCAGAATCCTGGTCCTTGGTGGATCCCAGAATCCTGGTCCATGGTGGATCCCAGAATCCTGGTCCTTGGTGGATCCCAGCATCCTGGGACACAGCTGGCCAGGTCTGGGGGATCCCAGAATCCTGGTCCCTGGTGGATCCCAGAATCCTGGCCCATGGTGGATCCCAGCATCCCAGGACACAACTGGCCAGGTCTGGGGGATCCCAGAATCCCGGTCCTTGGTGGATCCCAGAATCCTGGTCCTTGGGGGATCCCAGAATCCTGGCCCATGGTGGATCCCAGAATCCTGGCCCATGGTGGATCCCAGAATCCTGGTCCTTGGTGGATCCCAGAATCCTGGCCCATGGTGGATCCCAGCATCCTGGGACACAGCTGGCCAGGTCTGGGGGATCCCAGAATCCCAGTCCCTGGTGGGTCCAGAATCCTGGTTCCTGGTGGATCCAGGTGTCCAGGTGTGGGAGATCCCAGAATCCTGGTCCCTGATGGACACAACTGTCCAGGTCTGGGGTGTCCCAGGATCCGTGTCCCTGATGGATCCCAGGATCCTGGTCCCTGGTGATCCCAAGGCTCAAGGTCCTTGGTGGCCCCACTGAAGCCTGGTGGGTCCAGATGTCCTTCTCCCAGTGGTCCCAGCTGTCCAGGTGTGGTGGATCCCAGGATCCTGGGCCCTGGTGGATCCAGGTGTGCAGGTGTGGTGGATCCCAACACCCTGGTCCCTGGTGGATCCAACGTGTCCCATTCCCAGTGGTCCCAGGGAATCCCAGCTCTTCCCAATGAACCCAAGTGTCCAGGTCTAGAGGATTCCAGAATCCTGGTCCCAGGTGGATTGGGTGTCCAGGTCTAGCGGATCACAACATCTTGGTCCCTGGTTGATCCCAGGATCCTGGTCCCTGGTGCTCCCAAATGTCCAGGGCCTTGGCGGTCCCAGGTGTCCTCTTCCCAAAGAAGCCAGGTGGACACGGGTGTCCAGGTCTGGGGGATCCCAGGATTCGTGTCCCTGGTGGATCCCAGCATCCCGAACCCTGGGGGATCCCAACATCTTGCCCCCTGATGGACACAGGGTCTGGTAGATCCCAAGATCCCGATCCCTGGTAGATCCAAAATCCCAATCCCTGGTAGATCCCAAGATCCTGATCCCTGGTGAACCCCATGACCCCAATCCCTGGTGTATCCCATGATCCCAATCCCTGGTGTATCCCATGATCCAAATCCCTGGTGTATCCCACGATCCCAATCCCTGGTGGATCCCATGATCCCAGTCCCTGGTGGATCCCATGACCCCAATGCCTGGTGGATCCCACAATTCCAATCCCTAGTGGATCCCATGACCCCGATCCCTGGTGGATCCCATGACCCCAATCCCTGGTGGATCCCATGACCCCAATCCCTGGTGGATCCCATGACCCCAATCCCTGGTGGATCCCACAATCCCAATCCCTAGTGGATCCCATGACCCCGATCCCTGGTGGATCCCATAACCCCAGCCCCTGCTGGGCCTCCCCCCAGTCCTTGCCGTGCCGTGTCCAGGTGTCCCCGTGTCCTGAGTGACCCCCTGACCCCTGATGACCCCCGGGGTGTGTCCCCCTCTGGCCCCCCGTGCCGGGGGGTCCCTCCCCAGGGGGGTGGCCCTGCTGACCCCCCCCTTTTCCCCCCAGTGGTCCCACAGCTTCTCCCTGGTGGACGCGGCCGGGCTCCAGCGCTACGAGCTCTTCTTCAAGACGCAGGAGATGAAGAAGAAGTGGCTGGAGCAGTTCGAGATGGCCCTGTGGGTTCCTCCACCCCATGGTGGGGGGGTTTGGGGGGTCACCTGCCCCGCTGGGTGGTCCCAGGGGGGCCCAGCTTGCCCCCCACCCCCACGCTCAGGTGCCCCCCTCGTGCCTGTCCAGCTCCAACATCTTCCCCGAGCACGCCCTGGCCGACGGGCACGACTTCCAGATGTTCTCCTTCGAGGACACCACGTCCTGCAGGGCCTGCCAGATGTTGCTGAGGTGGGACCCCCAAAATTACATCTCTTGGGAGGGGGGGAAATTGGGGGCCACTGTGAGCTGGGAGAGGGGGGTTGGGAGCTCTGGGAGAACGGGGAGGCCCCCGGGGGGGGG